GCTGTGTCCCCTCCCAACTTCTTGTGCACCCCCAGCCTCCTCGCTGGTGGGGTGGTGTGAGAAGCAGAGAAGGCCTTGACTCTGTGTCAGCACTGCTCAGCAGTAACGAAAACATCCCTGTGTTATCAACACTGTTTCCAGCACAAATCCAAAACACAGCCCCATACTAGCTACTCTGAAGGAAATTAACTCTATTCCAGCCAAAACCAGCACACCAGGAGAGTGAGTAGAGATCAAGTAAGGACTTGGCTTTGTTACCCCTGATTAGAGGGTGAGTGAAATGCTAAGGCTGCTGGCGTATGCGACCCTTAGGCTGTCACTGGATCAAAAGAACAGAAATAACCCAGAGTCCGTGACCAACTCGGTGCAGACACAGGTTACCAAGGAGGCTTCATTTCTGACCATGGTTTAAATATGTCACCTACTAGCCTGAATGTTGCCAGATGCAGAGATTTATCAGCTCCATCCACTCTCAGCAAGAGGATGAGCAGTCTAGATGCCAGAGCTGCCACAGCGATTGTCAGAATAAATATTAAAAAAAAAAAGCAGCTGGAGCATCCGTGGCTGGGTATCGCTCTGTATAGGCTACAGTCTTTGCCGTGCTTTTGTGACACCTAAAAAGAAAAAGCAGATTTGAAATTTTTTTCATTTTTAATTTTTTCATTAAAGATTCTGGCCACCTACTGAATGTGGTTTGGAGAGAGCATTATGGTCAAGCATAAATACTATAACTGTAACAATTTATTGTTGTTCTGCTGTAAATTTAGAACCTGGATCTGATTTTTGCTTTGCCAGTAAAACAAAATCTCCCCTTCTGTATGGGTTTCATTGCCTTGATTGAAGAGCAGCTCCGAGTTTTTGATGAATTATGTGTGGTCCTTGCTATGGTCTAAAGAAAAGCGCAGAAACTGATTTTTCATCACACTTGAGATTTTTCTGGCCTTGGTCCGTTGCTAGATTGACCAAGGTGAGAACAGCACTGCAAAATGCCGTGGAGGGGATAACTAGCATTCCAGGGTTCAGCAGAATTTCCTCAAGGGATTGGTTTTCAGTATTACTCTATACCCATTTTTAAGATACCGAACCTGTGTGTACTCCTATATCTTAAAAATGGATACGGAGTAATACAATGCAAGGAAGATGCCTGTTTCTCAAAGTAATCTCCTTCAGCCGTCTACTGGTTTTAATGCATCAGAGGTAAACGAAATAAAATTTAACCCCAACTTCCTTGCTGTCACGTGTAAAGCAGACCATGCAGGAAGCTCGTGTAGGCTAAGAAGTCAAGAATTTCCACCCGGGTGATAACGAAGGTGGAGAAGCAATCATCATGAAGAAGCTGTGTAAGGCAGTGCAGCAAACGATGGTTTGTGACTAGAGCATGGATTAAAGCAAAGGAAACAAACAATGAGGAAGTCTTTTATTCCAGATCAGACGCTTCAGCAAATATTACAGCTTAACTTCAAAACAAACCTTGCAACTAATGAGGTGATAGCCGTGCATATTAATAAACCCAAAGCTGTAGTCATAGTCATCACACCCACATCAAACATAAACATAAGATTAACACCTACACCACTTCTTTGGAAGATGTGAGAATGTCCCAATGATAAGTGTGCTCTTTTCCCCAGAGGATAAGAAGTAGAAATGGAAGGGTAATGAGAAATTAACTTAGATTTAAAACAGAATTAGCAATTAAACAAGTCTAATCATGTACAAAGTCAAAGTTTGTATAAAGACAAACCAAAATCTGTTAAGTTCAAGAATAAGTATAGACCGTATGCATTTTATCTGATATGTTTTTCTCTGTTCACACCTCTTTATTAAAAGAAATGTATGAAATAAATGTTGCCTGCTTGTGTTTAATTGTACTGATCTGTATTTGTATGCATGACTCTGTACTGGGGGCCAGTATGTATTGCACGGTTTGGGGACCTTGGTTTCTGACTAGGTTTTGAATTTGTGTCGGAGTTTTTGGAAGTATTTTCTGGTTTGTGGTGTGTGAGGTTGAGCTAACTGGAGCAGAGGAGTGCTGGTTGGTAGGGACAGGCCTTTGTGCAATATGGACGATGAGTGTTCCCGTCTTCTCAGCAGGAACCGTAGTTTGCTGAGGGTTTCACCAAAGATGACCAGAGCAGCGTATTTGACTTTTTCCCCCTGCTTTTTTAGCTTTGTGAGAATTAATCAGCATTAGTGCCGTGTATAATGAAGCACAAACAAAAATACTAGGGCGCGTGTGTGTGTATACATATACATACATACTTGTGTTTATATATGTATAGCTAAACACATACATGCACACTCATGGACCACTTAGGCTTACTTAAATAATCCTGGCCTCTGCAAAAAGCATTCTGGTGAGGTAGTTAGGGCAAGAAAATATTTTCATTCTTCCAGCAGCTTCACTTTATTAACAATAATGTTGTGTGAGCTGTCTGCAGCTAAAATTGTGCTTTTGTATCTGTTGTCTCCCTTGAACCTGGTATATTGCAGTTTTATATTTTTAAAAGACAGAAAAAGTCGAGAGACAGCTTTTAAAAATCTGGAGGTTTTTTTCCCACAACCATTCATCTGTTTGCTTTTCAATAAAACAAGATGTCTGAAATGTTTGGTGTTCAAAAAGCTGAACCTCTGACAGTTCTGTTTACTGGTAAGTAAGAGCTTGGAGGTCCCATTTATTTGCAGAGAGGTGAAATGACTTAGGCAGATACATCATAAAGAGGACTTGTTCATCCTCTATAATGATGCTTCATAGAAATCATTTGTATTAAGCAAGCACTGGTAATGGGAGCATAATGACCCCTTTTGGCTCTTGTTTAAATTCTTTCACTTCTAAACAGTAATATTAATCACAAGCAGATGGTGCAGAACGTTATTTATGCACATTTGTTTTCCAAAAACAAAAAATGTTTAACCCATTAAGTGAAGCAGTTTATGAAACAAAAAGGATAATTTACTAATTGGGTGATTTTTCTCCCCACTTTCAATATGAGATGTTTTGTGAAGTGACATTTTTGTCTAGGATTGTCACTTCCTTTTTTCTTGAGGAAATCAACTCAACCGTTGGAATTCATAGCAAATATTTGCTTAAATCCCCCATTTGCAGTGCTATTTAAATTCTGCTGCGCAAGGACAGATAGTATTTGTTCTTAGCAGTGCCTGTTTGGCTGCAGCTTGCTCAGTAGAGTCCCCAACCTGCACAGGCTTCCCTTCCTTAATGGGCTGATCGCCGATTGCTTTTTTTCTTTTAGGATATTTTCTTGGGTTTGTTGTTTGTTTGGTTTTTTTTTTCTTAGTTCTGTTTGTGGAAGGATTTCAGGATCAAGCAATGCTTAATGAATGACAGATGTTTTTTTAATTATATCGATTCACTGTCACATCCCACATGGTAGCAGGGAAGGGGAGATGGGGTCTGCAGATCCCCAGTGACACAAGGGGATGGCTGGATAGAGCCTTGGCTCTTCCTTGGTGGGAGCTGGGCAGGCCTGGTGGGACGGGATGAATGTGGCGCGGTGGTTTCCTCTGGTGGGTCGTGCTAAGGGAACAAGGACTTGTGGGCTGCATTTGGACAACATCCTGCCTCTTCCTCTGAACTCGTGACGTGGTTGAGTCTTATAGCAAGAAAATTTGGCTACGTGCATGTTGCCTCATCGTCACTTTCCGTGAGGTCATAGTGTTTCACGCTTAGAGTTTCCTTCTGCCTTCCCAGACCCTTCACTTTACTCAGAGTGAAAGGATTTTGGCATTGTTAGAAAATAATGCAGTTGATCCGGTCTTGATCCCACGAACATATTTCCGTCTGTACCGCACCAAAATGTTTCTCTTGGCCATTTGGTTATTAACTATTTTTATTACATCCTTTACAATTAAAAGCAAGGGCCTCTTGTTATACTGCAGTTTTCTTTTAAAAGTGTTAGTACTGTGAACAGCTGGGTTCGTGGTGCAGTATGTCAGTATTTTCTGTATGTGTAATTGCATCTGCTGTTCATTACAATTCAGCGCAAGCCCAGTAACGAGGTAGCTCTATTGGCTGCCATATTTTTAGAAAGAAGGTTAAACAGGATTACCGTGTAACTTACTGTTCTTCTCGGGATTCAGGATAGAGCCTGCCGATGTACTTGGCATGTCTCGTTAGATTTAGCAAAGTCACTCGACACTGGAGAGGAGTGTGCTGCTTAGCAGGTTGCCACAAGCAAATATTTCAGTCTCCCTGAAGTTTTAGTTAGAAAACATATTCCTAAAATGTTGTTAGGAAGCGTATGGGAGGTTTTGTAACTGCGTGGATTGCTCTGTAGCAGTGTTTTGTTTCATCACCTGAGGCAGGGGAATAGGTAAAAATCCATCAAGAATGCAGCACACGGATTGAATTCCTAAAGGTGAAATGGAGATCAGGATACACAGAGTCTGTCAGTGCTGTAACATGATGAAGACACTTGTGACTGATTTTTCTTTTCCCTTTGGGGGGAAATTGCAAAAGGTACTAGCAGTATTAATACCTAACTTAAAACATACAGATCCGCTTAAGCTATATAACGTACTATTGAATGCTCCCCTTCTTTAAACTGGATTTTTAGCTCAAATATAGGAAAGCATTTAATCAGCTTGTTAATTGAGGTTGTACATTTCTACATTACAGAGACAAATTAAGCAAGCTACTGTGGTACCAGAAAACATCTGCTAAACAAAGGCAAACTTAATGATAAACAAAATTAGGTTCTTTTCTAGTTGGGTTTCATCCATCTGCACCCAACTAGTGTTCACTTTTAAAGAAGGCAAAGATACGAGCTATTGCTTTTAATCCATTTTGACAGAAGAAAGCAGTGATTAGGCAAAGCCACTGTGCTCTAATCTTCCCAAGTTTAAGCCAGGCCATAACGCGCACATTATGCTTTCCGACTGGCATCCCCAGAACAGAAAGATGCTCAATGTTTCCTGCACCGCAGTCAGGCTGGATGTTCAGCAGTTTATTCACACGTCAATTTTACAGCATGCAACAGAAGTGTACCAACTTCTTTTGGCATCAGAGGGGGTCAGCATTAAGATCTCTACACTGACAATCTGGCTTTGCGATGTACATTGATGTTTTATTTGCCGGAGCAGGATTAGTAATAATTTTAAGGCATTGCTGGCAGTTAACCTCTGTAAAAGCTCTGAAACTGTGAGATCAGAGCCATTTTATGCAGTAGAAGCCATGGAGGTGGAAGCCAGTAGCTTTGAATAATGGTGTGCACAGAAGCAAAGCTGCACTGTATATGTTCCTGGGGCAGAAGGAGGCTCGAATGTGCTTCTATGTTTGTGTTTTCCCTGTGTTCCTATATGCAGGTGTTTGTGTGGGATACTTTGTATTCGTAATTTTTATAGAATATTAAATTCTGCTCTTGTCACTACATGGAATTAAGTGAGCGCTGTTAGAGAAGAGGGAGGCAGGGTTAATTGCAGTGTTAGAATACCAAGTCGCAGGGCTGGGATGAACCTTAAAAGGTCAGCCCGGCTATCCCTTGATACTGAAACAGCCTTCACCATTTGCACCGTTGCTTTCGGCTTGTTCCTAAATTGTCCAGTGACTGAGTTTATTCCCTCTCTGTCATTTCCACTTCATGCCGTAATCTGCAGATCCTTTTTTGCAGACCTTCTCCAGCCTACACTCCAGGCAGTTGTTTAATCCTATATGCAGTTGATTAATCCCTGTCTAAATGTAGTGCTTCCACTTCTCCCTATCAAATTTCATCTTATTTTTTCAGTCTGATTTTCCAATCTGTCAAGATCACTTTGAATTCTAGGTCCCATCCTTCAGTGCACTTGCTGTCTCTCCCAGATTGGTGTCACCTGCAGATTTGGACTCGATGACCTTAAGGGTCTTCTCCAGCCTAAATGATTCTATGATTTAATAACATGGATTATCAGTATTTGAGAGGTACAGTTATAACGTTGTCTGTGCTACTGACTGTTACAAACCAGAGGTTGCATTTGAAATATATCTTTGAAATATTTCCTATTAAAATCCATCATGCCAATGTTCGTAACAACCTCTGTATATACGGTGCGTATCTAGGCTAATATAGATTAAATACAGTTTTGTTCCCTCAACAGATGTGAAGCCATCTAATATGTTGGTGAACACGCGAGGCCAGGTGAAGCTGTGTGACTTTGGGGTTAGCACTCAGGTAATTCCCCCTTCAGATATCTGCCCGCTCTCTTTCTAATGTCAAAGTCACCTGGCTGCCAGACAGCCAGCCCCACAGCAAGCTCCCCTCTGCTGGGACAGCCCTATTCATTTTTAATCTCTGGGCGACTTTTCTTCATCTGAATATGATTGTTCATTGTTTAATGACAGTAAAAACTGCTGATATTGTAATTACTACTTACGAATAGCAAACTTCATTGATATGCAGCTTTGATATGAAAGCGTTTTGGCCAGACAAAAGGGAGGGCAGAACGAGAGATGTGTCTGGGGAGCCCAACTGGCCCACAATAAAAATTAATATTGGGAGTAACAATAGTGGTGGGCTTTTACAATGTGCAGCACAAATTTTAATTAATTTCCATTTTGGGCCTCCCTGGAGAACTTCTCTGATAGTGACCCATGAGCTTGCTGTGATGTTGATTTGAATTTCAGCACCTTTACTCTCAGCCAAACATCAGGACCAAAGAGAAGGTCAGCCTTGTATTATAAGTTGTCAGAGTCTGTTGTCCCTCCAGCGTATTTAGTGCTCGTTGCATTCAAGTGATGAATGTGGCTTTATTCACATCTTGAGCCAGCTGACTGAAAAATGAGTGCGTTCAATCCTACTTCAAATTGACTTTTTATATCAGACTAGTTTGGGGTACTAAAGCGATAAGCATCCTGTTTAACAGAATTGTTTAAGGTTATCTGCCATAAACTGTAATGCAGTGCTTGTTTAAATTGGAACTCTCATTCCGAACAAAAGAGAGATTTAATCATTTTTAATGCCTTTGCAGATAAATTTGTTCCCTTTTACATAATTTTTAGTTGATTTATAGGAATGATGATTGTAGGTTAAATGAGGAATAATTGCCCATTTTATTTCCACATTATCTTTATATTGTTCTAACAGACTGTTTTGTCTGATAGCTGGTGAATTCTATAGCCAAGACGTATGTTGGAACAAATGCTTATATGGCGGTAAGTGGATTTATGCAGGAATAACATTTAAATAGAAGTATTTGTTCACAGTCTTGTTCTGTGTAATGCGGGATGTGCTCTAAATCAATTCTCAAACTTCATCTCTCCCCATCCCCAGCATAAGCTGTGTCTTAATTGTGTGTGCCACGAACCAACTCCCTTTTACTGTCTCACAGACCCACTCCCTTCCTGTCTCTGCTCACCTGCCAGCTCTGTGACAACCGCACTTCTTGCTGATATGGAAGAGTAACATTGGAAAAGTGTTTCTTTCATGTGTTTTTAGTTGTCTTTAATGCATTGTAACAGCTGGGAACAAAGAAGAGAGCCAGTTCAACATAAAAAAGCAGCTTTCCACTGACAGCCTGCAGCTCCTTACGGACCACTGATGGTCCAATGCTGTCCACAGTTTGGGGAACCACTGCTCTGAGCCTGCAGTTTAGCAAAGCGTTTAGACGTGTGCGGGAGTCCCATGGACTTCTTGATGCCTGAGCACCTGTGTGGGTGTTTCCCATGTGAAGTTGCCATGTAAATTTGAAGCTAAAATATTTGGACTAAGAATTTTAGGCCATTAAATGGCATGTTGTGTAATCTTCATACCGTACATACCAAGTCATCAATATGTTTCACTTTTCTATATAAATTTTGGTTAGAATGCTTGTTATGATGAGACTACTTTTGTCCTTTTTCTGTACGTTAAAACATAAATTCCCATCACTTTTAGATCAAAGTAAACCATTGCTGAAGATGTATCATTTGGAGGAACGCTGCTGCTGTTAGCTAGGATGTGAGGTTTGGGTTTAGCAGTTCTCGCTGAGCTGACACCTGGCATGTGGTGTTCATGTCTTTGAGATCAATATGGTGACGAGAGCCAGTCTGAAAGTAACCTACAAAAGTTAGTGTGTATATTCCATTAGATCAATTTGATTAATTTTAGTTCTCCGTTTAACAGATGTGAAAACTTAAATGCTTCAGTTTAAAGCAGTGTATTAACTGTTGTCTTTTATTTTTGGCCATTAAAATTCTTTTCGCAAACTACGGATGTCATAATGTTAATGAGGAAAAAATCAGTGTTCGGCTTGTTTAAAAAAAAAAAAGTGCAAACAATACGAAGTGGTTGATACTTGTACTTTTCAAACCTCAGAAAAGAGTAGAGAGAAATCCATGACCTTTAATCACTTTCAGGTATTTTTTCTTACTTTCTTGTAAGAAGAAAGCAGGCCAGGGTGTCCATTTATTTGCTAAGTGCTTTTCTAGTCAAGGTGTACTTATTATGTAGCTTCTGAAACACTCATGTCACCATCCTAGAAAGACGTGGGCTATCCTGTGTCATCAGAATATTATGTGCAGAAAAATGTTTTAAAAAAAGAGATTAAAAAAATCCACTCTTCTATATTACCACTTTTGCTAGTAAGCCTGCTGATTTCTATGCCTCTGTTTTCTAAAAGAACTGGAATATAACGATTCAAACAAATAAACAGCTTCAAATTAATCAACTTTTCCAACTCAGCTGTTACTCTTAGAGTGGTCTTAAGCAGGTCTGAGAATTAAATTGTATTATGCTTTTAGTGTACAAATCAAGATTACTGTTCTCTTTCCCAGGTGTACATTAAATAAATTACTTTTTTTCTTATTGTTTATGGATGAATGTGATGCATTCGTCTGTTAATTGAAAAAGAGAAGCTTAAGCCGAAATGTACTTGATCTGATTTCTTGTGTTAAAATTGTTTTGCTTGCTGAATGAGTCATTTGTCGTCATCAAATTTATAGTCTAGTCATCAAAAAATAATAAAGGTCATAAGCTTTGGTTTGTCAGCCTACTGTGAGTGAATTTGAAACCATTAAAAAAATTGCTGTTTCTGTTTAAAATAAACAAGAAAAAAAGCTTTTTGATTGAGAAATTAAAATTAAAAAAAAAAATTTCTGTAAAATCATCACCACTTTATACAGAAAAAAATTTTGGATTAAAAAAGTAACCAGTTGTAGGAAGAGAAGATATTTTTGAGCTGTGTATCCTTAGGATGAGCTCAGTATTGCACACTTTACTTTATGCATGTGTTATTCTTACTTTCATCTTCTTTTCCATACTCTTAAATTCACGTGACTAGACTTTTTGTTTAGATTTGCAAATTATTTACTTGCCACTATCTTCTGTGAATACATAATTTCTAAATATAAATTGCTGTTTAAAACTGTTATAACAGAAGAATAAACAATTTAATATTGCTCAGTGTGAATTATGCATCTGATTTGGCGGCTCAGGAAAGGCCAGGGTCTCATCTGCACTAAAAAGATCTGCAAGTGCGAGGATCTTTGTCAGTATAAAAGGAAGCTTAAAAATCATATCCCTTTATGATGCTATTGCAAACATTTCTCAGATATGCTGACCTAGGCTAACTATACTTAATGAAGGCTTGCCTTAATGAACTTTAAAAAAAATAAATAAGATTTTTGGGTCACTGTTCAGCTCAAAATAAATGAGGCTCAGTCAAAAAGATTTTGTTCCAGTTACGTTCTGGGGTGTTTTTTTAGGTTATGGCAGTTGTGGAAGGCTATCCTTAAAGATAATGTGGGCTGCACTGTGTTTTTTACTTAACATTCATGCTGCGATAAAAGCTCTTGACCTGGGATTAGCAGTGCAGAGTAAACATCCGAAAACACATTGGACTGGCACTAATTTGGGAGTTTGTTTTCTAAAAAAGGTCTCTGGATTATTAAAGTCTAAAAATACAGGCAGTGCTTCGTAGGTGGTTGGGCTAGACAGGTGCATTAACAGCACAGTGGGGAGAGAAGTCTCATGGAGCCTTTTATTGTTACATTTCATGCTGTACTTGACCTTGGAAATGCTTAAATTGTAGCTTTCAAGTAAAAACTAGCAGTTATATTTTACAGCATTCTATTTTCATGAGGCATTGAACTTGCTATTAATAGTTTTGAGTGAAGTCTTTTTTTCTATAGGTCAAAAATGAAATTAAAAAGCATATAAAATAAAATTGCTGGCATGTGACTTCATTGATTCTTTTGGCTTCAACAACTTTGCTTTTTGAACTGTAGTTACTCCCCAACCCCTTGACTCAACATTAGGAGTCTGTTTTCCAAGCGTACCTTGATGCCGTGCCTGGGCTTAGCAGTAGATGTATATACCGTTGGACTCCCACACCTTGACTTTGCACTTTGCTGCACATGTGCAAGCCATTGGCTTTTTTTGTTGGATAAAAAAGCCCAAACACAAATGCCAAGGCCAACTTCACAAGGTGCATAGCAATTCATGGCCACGAGTCTGAGCATAACCAAGTCCTTTGCTCTTGCGGAAGAGGCAAGGGCTTAGCAGTAGATGTATATACCGTTGGACTCCCACACCTTGACTTTGCACTTTGCTGCACATGTGCAAGCCATTGGCTTTTTTTGTTGGATAAAAAAGCCCAAACACAAATGCCAAGGCCAACTTCACAAGGTGCATAGCAATTCATGGCCACGAGTCTGAGCATAACCAAGTCCTTTGCTCTTGCAGAAGAGGCAAAAATAAATAAATAAGTCATGTTTGAAGAGTGGATTTGCTCTCTGCCAGCTTAGCTGGTGGGCTTTAAGCTTCTTTGCATTTTCTCAGTTGATTTGTTTGCCCTGGGCTTGTGGAATTATTTGTGGAATAAGTAGGTATGTTTGTTTGCTAGGCTCAAAAAGATGTTTCTTTCCGTCTCTTTGCAGCCTGAGCGGATTTCAGGAGAACAGTATGGAATTCATTCGGACGTTTGGAGTCTAGGGATTTCCTTCATGGAGGTATACAAATATCTATCATTTTCATGTGCACATTGGAAGACTCAAATGAAGTCTAACATCAAAATATTTTAATGTAGTCTTTGTATACTCTTTTATATGTGCATGTTTTAACTATTGCTAAATTTCTTGGCTGTATTTAGAATGGGTTTGTTCTTACTGTGTTCAATTTGGTTAGATACAAAAAGCCTCTGTATAAACCATCTTAAACCCTCTAATAAATAATGAGAGTAAGAAGTAGGGCCTGGTACATGAGTGCCTCAACACCTCTGGGATTGAAGATGATGGTGTTTCTGTATTGCATCTTTGCAGGCCAGGACAGAGTGGGCTATTATTAGGGTTAAAATAGCGTTATGCAGATTCAAGGTTTGAGCTGGTTAATGGCCTTGCAAAATCTTCACAGAAATATTTCCATGATGGTATGAGTCTCTCCCTGTGTGATTAAATAAAGTGAATTTAAGTGTTCACAAGGGCTTTTAGAAAGATTTCTCACAAACATAGTTTCAAGCAGGAAAAAGTCCTTCCAAAATGAAGCAGTTCAAAGAGAACGTGGTCGTAAATGCAGTCATTCAGGAGAAACCACGCTTTCTGCAGGTTTAGTCACAACAAGGTCAGTTTTGATTCAGGAAAAAGGTTGTTTTTTTCAGCTTAGGTTCCATCAGATGTTTTAAGAAATATGAATTTCAGTGACTTTATAAAAATGGATGATTGTTTATAGGAAAGATAACCTGGCGTGTGTAAGTCGAGTAGAAATGCCTGTGTTATGATTGCGTATTGACCAGTAAAATCAGATCTGGCTTGGTCTGGTCCGGGAGAAGGGACAGGTAGCTCTGGTCTGGTGGTGACAGAAGGGTATGTTCACATAGCCTTTTTCACGTTGGCCTGGCCTGGCCACAAACAAGCCAGCTACGGTTGGAAAGCCCTGTAGCCTTGCCGGCTCGAGCAGTAAGCTCTCAGGAGAGTTTTTCAACTCAAGGACAGTCCCATGAAAGAACTTCCCCCTACTTGGAGCAGTTGGTTCTTCCTATAAGAACAGTTCATTCAAACCATCAATGACTTGCATCATCTTTCTTGCATAGCCTGACAAAGGCGTGATACGATTCACTGAAAAATATAGGTGCCTTTCCCTTCTCTTCTGGCATAATATAGTATCATTACGGTGAAGCTGAATATACCTTTTGGTGACGTGCAACTGATGTTTTTAGCAGAAGATTAGATAGAAGTTAAGTGGTTTTGGTACTGGCCCTCTGCGTCTAGGCAAATTTCATCTTTTCATAGAATCATAGAATAGTTTGGGTTAGAGGTGAGGCTATTGTTATGTTTTCAGACAATAAATTCCTTGCCAAATCAGTTTTAAACCAAAATGAAAATACTTAATGCTGAATCATTGCATTCAGATCTTGTAAATCTTTTCCAGAGTCTGACGGAAGCTAACTCTGAATTACAATAATGACATACTTTAACATGTCACAGGGGATGCAGTTCTCTTCATTTGTTTTACTGCAAATTTTAATGGTTTGTGATGCTGGAGAGCCCTCACAATTTTGGGAGAGATACAGAACATACTCTTGCAGTCTGTAAATGAATCTAGCCAACAAAGGGCTAAAATGAGATTGTATTACATTAAGACTTGACTATGGTGTTGTTCCTGATTCACGGTGGAATAAAGTGATATAAATGCAGAAGTCCTATAGATCAAGCATTTACTGGTTCCTTTGCTGACTAAAAGATGTATTTCGATGTGCAGCAGCAATATGATGATTTACCACATAGACCAAGATCTTTGGAATTTAGTTTAGGATTACTAGCAGGTAACTTGGCTGGTCGTGAATTTGATTTGAAGGATGAATTTCGCATTGTATTAGCCGACATTAGGAAAACTCCTTTAATTTGCATTTGCTGTCCTCTTTTAAACCTTCTCAACTTTTTTTTCTCTCTCGCTTTCCACGAATGTCTTCTGAACCAGATGTACAAAAAACAATTTGGTTCTGTGTGCTTTGTTAATTGGTATGTCATCTGGTCCTCCGAGACCTCTCTTCAGCATGATCGCTGTTTTATTGAAGTGGTTTGAGTGATGTGTTAAATGATGAAAGCAAGGACAGTGGCTTAGAAAAATGTCTCAAAAAAGGTGAAGAAGATGCTCAAAGAGCCACACAAGGTCACTGTCATTAAAGTAACACTGTATTGACATGGGGATTGGTAGCGGAGACACCTAGGCTCTTGTTGATGGAACTGTTAAAAAGGGAAGTTAGCATTTGCTGCAGGATTGTAAAATCATCTCCACTTAGCAGTGTAATACTCCAATCCTTACAACTTCAAGCTAGCACAGTTATAGCATGTTAATTTAAAAGAAATGGCATGTTGGGACCAAGTTAGCAAGCGCTGTTCTGACGTATGATAATATAAAATAGCAGCTAAGTAAATCTTCTCATTTTCTTTAATATTCTTCTAAACCTTTAAAATGTCTTTAATTTCTGTGCTGCAAAGCTATGTGTAATGAGAAACTGAACTGTTACTTTTGAAGGTTAAGAAAACTGCCCCAAAAAACTTGGTAGCAGAGTGTGGAAAGTATTAGATGTGGGTACCACCTAAGTTTTGAGAGATGGTGAGCGTTCTTGTTCCTGCTGACGTAAGAGGTGTCTGAGGGTGTTCGGTCTTCCCTTTGCCAAAAGAAAAGAAAAAAAAAAAGAAAAGAAAAAAAAGAAGAAATGCTGCTAGCTTTTTTACTATTATTCTTCTTTCATTTTTTTGAGTTTGCATTTCTTTCTTCAGGATTTTTTGAAGTGAATTAAATTTAATACATAATCTGTAAAACTGTTTAAAAGTGTTTCATCACAAATAGTTTGTGTGTTTTCATGAGGTTTTTAGATGTTTTATTTAAGTGCTCTTGGGTTGACAAAGCAAGTTCAATTTAAACCAATGACATTGCTGTCACTACATTGAAGACTGTGTCAGCATTTTCATTATAAAAGCTGTTTTTCAGGGGTTTATAACTCAGTCATAAAATACATTCCAGGGTGACTGGGCTGAGTTTGAGTGCTCTTTGCATTCTGTAACCAATTCAGTCTCCCTCCCAGAACCACACCGTGCACAGGAGGATAAATTAGATTGCCTAATATTTCTTCTTACTCTCCAATATGACTATAATCCTACCTCGCGTGGCTGCTATCCAAAAGTGAACTTCAAAGCATCCAAAATGGGATAAAAGACATCTTGTTGGTTTTTGATAGGCAGCATTCTTGTCCAGTGGTGTCTTTTTGTGGAGGTGTTTGAGGAGTAGGTATACTACTGTCACCTTCTGCTGAGCCGCTTCTTCTAGGATAGAGACTGCTGTAAGAGACAAGAAGCTGGGTGAGAAGAGCTATGGTGCGGCCCTGTAGGGCTGGTGTGTTCTCAGGTCCTCCTGCTTCCACAGTGGGTTGCTTCTTGATTTTCTCCTGGATTTTACCATCTCAAAGCTGCCTGCTGAGGAGCGCTGGCATGCTCTCGAGACAACACTGAGGACCAGAGTCTCCTACATGTCATGAGGAGAGATGGTGGGTGAGGAGAAGGGAGTTTTGGGAAGGCAGTGGAGTTGAGCTGTGATCAGAGTTGTTCGTTGAGGCAAAGTATAGGCTTGCAGATCTTTGCCAGGAGATCCAGGGCTCATTTTATCTGCGGGTGGAATTGGTATTATATTATATTGAAATGCAGGAAATGAAAGTGATTTGCTTATGCCACAAACCGAGTAAGTTTTGGAAGTAGAATATGAGCTCATGTGCTTGGCTAATGATAACTTTTTGCACCTCCTTTTGTATCACATCCTAGTCTCTACTTTCCACTGTCCTCTGCTGAGAAAAACAGCTACTTTCCTGTGTTTCAGGCCTCCTTTGGAAATTAACTTTTCTTGCAAAGACTATCAGTGTTCTCTCCTTCAGGGAAAAGGAGTTTGTATATCAGTTTTAATGTTAGAAACAAGTTCTTAAAACTCCCAAAATGAGAATTTTAAGTCTTCGGTCACCAAAGTTCGCTGTTATCTGTGTATTTGCAAGAGCTTTCAAGGGTTGCTAGTTGTTTGTGACATTTGTGTTAAGATGCTGTTCTAAGCAATATTCCAAGCAGTCATAATGACAGATTTTCAGCAGTTGTGTGCATTCCCACATATAGGAACACCAATATATATCCAACATGCCTTACATCGTGTATTTCAGGCACACATACATATCTTCTGAGTGGGGTTAACACTGAATGCATGCAATGTCAGCATTATGGAGTCTTAGAGTCTTCAGCACACTTGGGCTGGGAGCACAGACGGAGATGTAGGAAGAGCTCACTCAGACCATGAAGGCAAAGAGGAGGAACATGTTTGAAGAGGGTGCTACAGGAGAAGCAGCTCTGCTTTAAGATGATTCTCTTAAAGCACTTCAATCTTTAAGGTGTTTCACTGCATAAAACTGATGTAAAGACTCATGTATATGTAATCTGGTCAAGGAGAGGAGGTTTCAGAAGAATTCTTTCTAAGGAGTCTAAAATATGTGGTCAGTCACGTATCATCAGCTTTGAGGTGGTAATGGTTCAAGATCAAGATTGTGAGCTGATCTGCAGGAACTCCTGCAGACCACGATTTGGTCTTCTGCAGGATTTCACTTATGTGTGGACATAATGGTTGGTCTTTCATCAGTTTTATGCCCTTACCTAAACAATAGCGGGTAGACAGATGTAGGGAGAAATCTGAGACCTGGAGCTTGGTGATACACCATAGCTTTCTATAGTGGCACTGGAAACTTGGCGAAGGTTTGGTAGAAAGGGGTACAATCATGACGGGGCAACTGTGAATGTCTGTGTGACTGCTGGAAGCAGACACGGACCATGCAGTGACCTACAGTGTCAAAAGCTACACTGAATAGAGGCAGGAGGAATATTAATTAAAATAGCCCACTAGAAGATGGCAAGGGTCAAGCTTAAATGGGAAATGAGAATTTGCATTTAATCTCCATGCAGAGCAGAAGTCTTGATGTTGTAAC